CCAAAAGGGGTTGTGACCCACAAGGTTGAGAACCGCTGCTCTACTTCTTCAACCTCGCCATCTTTCCAAGTAAAGGTTGCTCCCGTGCTTACGAATGAACCCTTTACAACATGTTTTCCTGAGCCAGTGGCTCGGTCCAGGGGTGTGTGGTAAAGGTATAACATTTGTTTTCCCAGTTTGGTGCCAAGCCCTGACTGGTAACATTTGTCTGTCTCCATGGCCCATTTCAAACTCCCACGGTGACATTACTGGGCACGGTGTTGGAAAGGGGTCACCATTATCTCATATTTCCACCACGCAGATAAACAGATGTCTATAACCTCGAGAGCACAGATAATAGTAAAGTGTAAAACCATCAGGAAGAGATGCATGTTGAGCATTACCTTTGCTGTTAATTGTATGTTAATACAACTTGGTGTTTAATGGGCCACTCCACAACCAGCTCTCGGAATTCCTGAAAATGTAACCATTGGCTCTAGAGAGCCAGTGTGAACCAGCTCCAACACCCCGCTCACTGACGGGGCGTCCAGTCTGTCCTCCCACATCTGTGCACCTCATCGTTTTCTGTCATCCCTCAACACTTTAAAATGCACTTACCCGGTTGCATGCCTTTTTAGGATCTATAGATAAATCGACATTGATACATGAACCAATAGTCATATTACACAGATTTAATCTCTCCAGTTAAACATTTTTCTATCTCTTACCAGTATGGGAAGTATGTATTTTATTGAAACACTGATGAAAAACGGGCGTATCCCCTGGTACATTATCCAGTATAATCCTCAGTCATTGCAGGGGGTTGTGGTCCCGTAGCGCAGCCTTCCCGCCCCCTTTCCCTCTGTACATTTAAAGAGGAAGATAAAGACAGATCCGGACATGTGAGAGTGGCCAGCATCCGAGTGGGTGATCCCTGGGGTCTTCTATGCCCACCAGAGTTTTAATAACTGTGCCTTGGTTTGGCCTTTTAAGGATGAATTTTTAGGACTTTTTTTGTTTTCTTTGCTAGTATTTCCTTTACACGTTTGACATACGATGTGCCAGGGACTGTGCTAGTTTCTATGGCTAACCGGTGAGTAAAACTGCTCCCTGCCCTCATTGGAGCTTAGCATCTAATGGGGAGATGGTGTCCCCGAAAGACATAAGGTGCAACCATGCCGAGTGCATGGGGCACGGTGAGAGCCTGTGAGAGGGGAATTCAGCTCGAAGGGGAGATCCAGAAAGGCTTCCCAAAGAAAGCAGCCTTTGAAAGTGAGAGCTGAAGGATGAGAAGCTGTCAGCCTGGTGATGTTGGAGAGGCGCATTCCTCGCAAAAGAAATCGCATATATTAAGCCCTGAGTCAGGAGGGAGCTCGGTGTGTTTCGGGAGCCCTAAGCGCGGCGAGGCCTCAGAGCAAGTTAGAAGCCAGCCCGGCAGGACCTGCGCCGACGTCAGTGACGGCGAACCTATGACACGCGTGTCAGAGGTGACACGCGAACTCATTTTTTTTGGTTGATTTTTCTTTGTTAAATGGCATTTAAATATATAAAATAAATATCAAAAATAGAAATCTTTGTTTTACTATGGTTGCAAATATCAAAAAATTTCTATATGTGACACGGCACCATAGTTAAGTTAGGGTTTTTCAAAATGCTGACACGCCGAGCTCAAAAGGTTCGCCATCACTGGCCTAGGTCCTAGTTAGACCTGATGGGTCTTGTGCTAAGAACAGTGGGAAATTGTTGAGTTTTAAGCAAGAAGGGGTGACAAGAATTTCATTTTAATAAAAGTCAATGTTGGGAGCAGGGATGGAGGAAGGCAAGAGATAATGCAACTTGAACGAGGGAGGTGGCAGAGATGGAAACGCATAGGTATATTTGAGAGATTTAGGGGGCAAATCTGGCAGAACTTGATGATGGATTGGATAGAGTAAGGATGAAGGGCTGACTAGGATGGATTCACCAAAGCAGAGACCAATGTGAATATAAACAGGCTTGAGGAAGATTAGAGCATTCCTTTTATTTCACTTTTTAAAAGTATATTATTTTTATTGATTTCAGAGAGGAAGGGAGAGAGAGGTAGAAACATCAATGATGAGAGAGGTCCTTGATCGGCTGCCTCCTGCATACCCCACAATGGGAATAAGCCCGCAACCCCGGCATGTGCCCTTGACTGGATCAAACTGGAACCTTCAGTCTGCAGGCTGACCCTCTATCCACTGATCCGAACCGGCTCGGGAAAGGAATTCTTCATTTAAAGGCCAGTAAAAGAAGATAATCCACAAAGGAGGAGACGTGGCCACAGATCAGAAGAAAACATGTAAGTGAAGAGAACCA